AGTAACTCTTGAACTTGAATTTAAGCTGCATCCTAAATCTCATATTTAATATACAAAAGCTATCATTCAAAGAGAGGTTGTTTTGGGTAGTTACTCCTTTAAATTATTTCTAAACTTCAACAAGCGTGAATGGAAGGCCCTGGACTCCTTGAAATGGTCACTCCAAGCCTATGCATGAGGTCTACTCAATTCTATTCCTGTGTAGCCCTTTTAGGGATGTTATAAAACTATTATAAATTCAGTCACTAAAAAAATTATTGTCAAAGAATGTCATTTGAATAGAAAGGACACTTTGTAGGGGGCACAGGGTTCCAAAACAGCCTTCTTTTCTTTTTAAATGGAGTGCTTCACGAATTTGCATGTCATCCTTGTGCAGAGGCCATGCTCATCTTTTCTGAATCATCCCAAGTTTAGTATATGTGCTGCCAAAGTGAGCACTCTGACCAGTCTTTAAGAAATCTCATTGCCTTCATATAAAAAGTACCTGAGATGCACAGACACAAACATGTGCATCAATACACACACACAATTTTATATCAAGAATTTAAAACTGTTCAAAAAGTTTACATTCAAAGCAAAATATGTTATCAACATTAATAGCTTCCATTATTAAATGCCTAGCATTCATTTTTAGTAATATCTTCTAAGAGGTAGATAAGACCCATTCATAAGAGAGTAGAAGATCTGTCTATATTGACCAGTACTGAAAATATGTTGCCTCAGTCTCACACAATTAAAATATTTTTCTTCCTAGACAGAATCGAAAAAGTATTACTCTTGGTCTATATCTAGAATCTTCCTATTATGGCTCAAACAAAAAATAAAAGGAGTTTTATTTTGGAACTGGACTCCATTCATCTTCTGCTAAGTCACCCTTTCTTAGAGATCTGCTTCAGAGGGTATAGACATCTGCTCTGGTAGTAGGAATAGGACAAAGATAAAAGGCTCAGGACACAGTATCTTCCTTCTAGGACTTCTCATTAATGACTTAAAAATAACCCAGGGCTGCTGCTAGTACCTTGAAGCCTTCTCCCATCTTTATTCCTTCTTAAGGACTTTCTCCCATATTATTGTTCATCTGATTAAACTTACTCTTTTCATATATATGGCAAGCGCTCTGCTATAGTAAGCATTAGTTTTTCAAATAACTCTGTTTAATACTACTAATAACTCTGTTTAATACGACTAAAGTTTTCAACTTTAATAAGTACATTTCATCACTTAAATGAGGGCTTGACTGAGACCCATATTAAAAGACCCTGAAGACTCTTGCTGCAGAGTTTCAGAACGACTGTATGACCACTCTCTCTCTTCTTAGGAAGCAAGGCCAGAACCAAGAGAGAAGTGTTTGGTAGTGTCATCCTTTACTGTGTTTTGTGGAACAGTTGTGGAACTGTGTTTTGTTTATAACCACCTAACAAAAAGACTAAGGATTCCTAAGTGAATGTTCTCTAAGATATTTTTTTTTCTGGGCTTTTAATATTAAAGTAATCATCTGCTTGTGAAGTGATAATCTACCAATATTATATAATATATATGACAATTTTAACTCCTAAAAAATACCTAATTACCAGAAAAACATTAAAAAATTATTAAATATGACTACAAATTAAGCCTCCTAAAATTTTAATATTTAAGGGAATAAAAAGTATGATCTAAAAAATTTTACTTAGGACAATAAAATGCTCACCAAAAATCAGAATGTTTTAAAATCTAGAACATTATTTAGCACATTTTGGCTTAAAAATGATTAAACTAAGATTTTTTAAGTAAAGGAAAATAAAATTTACAGTATTCCATTACATAAAGCCTTTAAGCCAGTATCTCAAAAAACAGTAACCAAACTGAGTTATAAATACTTACTTGCGAATAGGTAATACCTCATGTCTTTTGATGCCACTGTCTGATTTTGTATCACTGTTATACAACCTTTGCACATGTCTTCCAGTTCGAAGTGGAGGGCCTAACTTGTCCAATTTACTATTAAAATATATAAAGGTTCACCCATAAGGAGACTGCTACTGTTTCTCTATATAAAGATTTTTTAAAAGACATTATTCTGGTTCATCTGAAATTCATACCCCACGTCCTTAATTATCTGACTGCCAGGGTAAGAAATAATGTCCAAAAGGATCCTCAGAGAGTTTAGACTCAGTCCATCGTTAGGAGGAGAACGTAGTCTACTCTGCACTTCCAAACACTGCCACATTCATCAAGAGTGAAGCAATAGGGTCAGGAAAGAAACTTAGGAAGGACAAGAGTTCCAGAGAAAATTCTTGAAGCTATTCATATTACATGAACTAAAAACTTGTTATTCACAAATAATCTAACTTTGCCCCAACCCTGAATTCACAGCAGCTCTCTTTTTTCTTCATTATTTTTATGATGTTCCCACATTTTAAAATTCCAAATATAAAATAAAGAATTGAATGCCTGATTTTGTAACCCCATTTGATTTTCCAACAAAGGACTTAATTTCTGAATCTAAAGAAAGGTAAAACATGACCATAAGTAAAAAAATATGGATGGCAATTCTTAAAATCACATGTAAAAATGTTAATGGACTATACCATCTGAAGCTTTCTGTCTCTTGTTCCTTCTCTTTCTCTCTCTAAATACATACATATATATTTTTAAAACCAAAATTATTAATAAAAAGGATCTCCATCTAGAGAGAATAATAGCTCAAACTGCAGGTCTATAAAATAATTCACTGTTTTAAATAAAGAAATCACAGTTGAGAGGAGGGAAAATTAGGAAATCAGAAACTATTTTAAATGACTGTGGAATAACACATTACTGCTTGTTAACTTTAAGGTTTTTTTTTTTTTTTGCAGTTTTTGGCTGGGGCTGGGTTTGAACCTGCCACCTCCGGCATATGGGGCCAGGGCCCTGTTCCTTTGAGCCACAGGTGCCGCCCAACTTTAAGACTTTTTAAGAGACATTTGCTCTCTCATTTCTTCACTCATTCACTTTCTCTATAAACCCTGACTACCTACTATGTGTCAGGCACTGTGCTATACTATGGGAATATCGTGTACCACATAGTAGAATTATAAAATATTTGATGCTTTGTTCTTATGGAGTTTAGTGTCTAAAAAGAATTTGTTCATCTTTATAGATTATAAGAGTCTATTAGGATACACACATTTATGTTCTTTCAGTAGCCAACATGTAGTTAGCATTTTAGAAATTAAAGTTCTTAAAAACTGCCTTCATTAAATATATATATATATATATATAACTTCTAAAACATCTGAAATTAAAATCTATTATTTTAATTTGTAAAAGATGACTACAAATGCAATTATTTGGAATTTTAATTAATCAGATTTTTCTTTAAATTTTAATTTATCAGAGCACGTTTGTTCCAAACAGTTATTATCTTACAAATGGTACCCGTGGTTTGGCAAACAAAAAATAAAAGACCTTGTTTTCTTTATCAGGAAAAAGAGTCACTAAAATTAAAATTTGGAAAAATTTAAACTACATTTTAAAAACAGATTTCCCTAATATAATGATATATGCTCAAATACTGTATGTGACATAACAAACTTTAATTTGGTAAAGGAGATGTGTAAAATCTAATAAAAATCTAAAGGTAATTATCTAATGGAAATATTGTATACATATATACATATGAGAAATGAGTTTTTTTCATACTTTAAAAACCTAATTAAAGGAAAGGGTCCAATGATGACTTATACCATTTATTAATACTTATACTATAAAATTCAACTTAATGTATACACACACATATACACACACATATATATACACCCATACACAATTCAAATGTCACTTTGGCTAAAAATTAGTAATGCTATTCTTAGACTAACTCACTTAAATTTATGTTCTGCCATAATTTGCTACTGTTAGGCTATGTATCAAAACCAAAATATACAAACCTTAATATCAAAATTTTATATGTATAATATTTCGTAGACTTTCAAAGTACTCATAGCTGAAAGAATATTTTAAGAAATATTTGGCAAGATATCAATCTATTCCTGACTTGAAACAAACTTCAGATTAGGAAAGGTCTTTGTTTACTGTTAAAATCAAGAGAGTGAATTCACTTAGCAAGTTAGGTGGGCTTATAAAGTACTATAGAAAGAACAGTAAATTGAGATATAATAAAGAGATAATCTCTGAAATAAAACTGAGAAAAAATTTACCAGATGATATTTTGTATTTTTGTATACCTCTGTAGTTGTGATGCTCTGAGACATTCAAAGTTTTGGAATGTATCATGTTTTTGACCCTAAATTCACCAATGCTCCCCAGGCATTTTAGTATTTCAGCTCCATGGCAAAATTAGCTTCCTTATCCAATGGCTTCATTCACTGTTATCCATATAAACCAAGTTCTACAATTCTAGGTTTCAGGCATTTCTAGATTGATAACA